TTAATACACACACACACACACACACACACACACACACACACACACACACACAATCTTTGACTCAGTCAGGATTCATGCCAGTAATTTTAGTCTGAGCATCATGTAGTAAAATCTCATTCTGGGGGAAGTGGCAAGTTAGTGATAGAAAGGCAAGGTATGTAAATCATCTACAGAATCATAATTTAAGTGGCAAGAGGGACTAACTGCCTACCCTCCCCCTCGCACCCTTAAGCTGCCATCTCCAAGTCCTCCAGCTGGTGGAAATTTTGATAATACAACTTTGTCAAAAATGGGTCAAGTTAGGGCTTTTGAATAATATCCTTCTTCCACGAACATAATGGTGACAATCCTAAAACAATTATGTATATAGCTATTTGAGAAAATATTGAAATATCAACTTTTTAAAATTAAACTTTAACAGAGGGATGCATTGCTTAGATGAAAATGACATTGATCTTTGGCAATCCTAGGGAGCTTAGTCTTGACATGTAGAACTGAAAACATTTATTCATCAAAGTCATTATCTGTGTGATCTCCATTTAGGGGTTCACTGCTAGACATGTTATCATATTGATCGTCATCCACATCACACTCACACATCTCTATTAAGGCAGATGGCTAGCCAGACATTTGCAGGGTGGTGTCTTTTTACATGAGCTTTTGATTAGCTGAAGGAGCACATGTATTTTATGCATAATTGGTGTGATCGTTCCATCCTCCAAGACCCATCAGTGCTCGATACGGGAAGACAGTTTTGAATGTGGTCAGTCATCCCAGAGCCATTCTATTGCCTGATCCTTTGCCGTCTTGGAAGCAGATATAAATGCATCCCCTTGTCAATGACAATTATTCTCTGTCTGCTGCTTGGAAAACATCCACCAACATAGCTCTGCAAGTATCATAATGTTGATCTTCAAATGGTAAACTAGGCATATGAATGCCTTTAGTGTGCATTTATGACCCCATCAGTGACTGTCTCAGCCATTCTGAGCACCTTGAGAGCAAGGAGAGAGTCTCTGGAGGCTGAATGAAATGTCTTCCTTTAAGATAATCTGGTCTTTCCAGCCATTCTTCCAGTACTGTCACATTCAGAAAAGTTGTGAAAATCTGGCAGTGAGGCTGTTGAACAGGCCTGTAAATGCCCATGTCATTTTTATTCAGTTCTGAAGATGTATTTGTTCATGTATTTCAGCTGCATAAGGAATGTTAACTGAACTGAGCGATCCCTGGCTCTAGCAGGTATGGCTGGCCAGTGAGGCATCAAAAGCCGCTACCAACACATTCTGCTACTAGTAACAGCTTCTGACACACAAGCTGTCCTGTCAGAATTTGCTACTTAACCCCTCGATTTTGGCCAGTGATAGTGAATTATAAGGAATTGGGGGTCCCTTTGCCATAATTTGCTACCTCTGATCTTTCCTGTCTGGTCAGGATAGCTAATTGTGATGGGGTCATTTGTTGCAATTTGCTACTTCTCACCTTTCACATCATCTGATTCGGGGTACCTTTCACATCCTCGGGTCATTGGGTAGCAAATTGCGACAGAGCATCACCATCCATCGCAATTAGCTACCCCTGGACAAAGGTGAGAGGTAGCAAGCTATGGTGCATATTGATGTCCTGTTACAATTTGCTACCATTTTGAAATCGCCATTGTAAACATAGACACAAATAAAGAGAGGTATTTTTCAAAATTTAAAAACTTTATTATTGTAACCAGGTATATAAACAAGAACTGTTTACTTTCCATTCCAAATTTTTTTCAAAAACAAGCATCAAAATATACGTATAGATAGTTATTAACACCTTTTTTCTATACTGAAATGAACAGTACAATTAAACTTCTCTATTACTCGTTTATATTCCAGCTGCATTATTCCAAGAAAACCAAAATATTTCGCTTAACAAAACAATTATATAATATACATATTAGGTTAACATCTGAACTATGCATACTTGTTGCACTTATACTCTTTCTTCTCATCAGTTAGGTTTTCTTCATTAGTTCCCTCTGGAAGGCAAGGCATATGTCCCCTCCTCTTACAAGAGTCACACTGGACCTTTGATAAGTACTAGATGAGAAAATGAAATTACAGAACTAATAATACTAAACATAATTTATGTTTACTCATAACATTTATAAAATTATATTCCTTCAACATATAATCATTACTCAAGATATGATTATCAGCAGTGGTGAAAATGTTTGTTACTGGAATTATTACAAGAACCTTGATCCTTAGGCTGGTTATTACATTGGGTCCCTATGCAATTGGCTAGATGTTGGGCCATGGCCTTTGTTCTTGTACTACAAACCATCATATTCTGCTTACTTATCTGTTCCAACATACGGTGTGTGTTTCTCATACAATGTTGAGTTTCTTACCATCATGCAATCTTTCTTTTTTTGCAAGTGACAAAGTTGCAGTATATGCAGTACTCTATGCATTCTGAAAAATCAATACAATGTACTCAAATGATGATTACGTTGTGACCAAAACTCTAAATAGAAATCTTAATTTATTCATTTATGCCAATTATTTCAATTAATTAACTGGGTTTGCAAGTATTTCAGGGGGGTATATTTTAAATTATATTTGGGAAACCAGTCTATCTTTCTCAAATTTTTACTTTACCGCTGGTGGATATAATGAAATCCAATTACATTTCACTGCTCTATCAATGACAAGCATTCACCTGCCTCACATTTTTCAGTACTTAAAGAAAATATTCATCCAGAGTCACTATTAGATTCTGACATACCCTATGACATACCCCACTGTAGGTGTATTAAGATAACCTTTTGTCACAGAGTGTGGGGGAGACCAGGCCCTGCACCCCCAGCTTCCTGTGATTCACCATGACTCTCAGCCAGCCAGTTGAACAGAAGGTTTATTTAGATGACAGGAACACAGTCCAAAACAGGTCTTGCCATTACTGACAACAGCCCCCTCCCCCTTTAGTTAGGTCCAGCTCGGGGCCCCAGGGAGGCCACAGTCCCGTTGGGAAGCCCAAGCACCATCGGGTCACCACTCTCCATCTTCCATCCAGCTCCAAACCTGAACACACCCTTCAGCCCCCTCCTTTCTGGCCTTTTTCCAGCCCCTCCCCCAGCCTTTGGGTCCTTTGTCCAGTTTCCTGGGCAGAGGTGTCACCTGGCCTCCAACCCCCCTCCTGGGTTCTCAGGTTACATGCTCAGGTATGCGCCCTTCCCCAATGCAGCCAGCCCCAGCAAAACTCCCCTGTAACCTTCCCAGGTCAATACTCCCCACTCAGCATTCAAATAACACATCAAGAACATTCCCACTTCATCACACCTTTATGTAACATAATTCCACTCTTCCTGTTATCTTCCGATATACTATGGGCTCACTAGATATATGTAACAAAGTTATTATCTGACACCTTCATTAAAAGAATTGCTATTTTTAAACATAGTCAGAGCTTCTTGTGCGGTTTCTACAGAACTGATATCTTTATGCTGTAAATACGTTTCTACAAACTAATAACACTTCTATTTAGAAAACACATAATTACACATCATTAACAAATAATAATGAAAATTTGGTATTGAATACCTTTAGGATGAATGGTCCGCAGTTCTGCCCATCAGTTTGTCTCTTTTGTTCCAATTGTGGATTTTCCAGTTTCTTGGTAGATGAAGGATGTGAAATTTTACACTTGTCGACTGTGTAAGTGGGTTTCGCTTTTTCTTACAGTTTCCGTACATGTTTCATGAGCCTTTCTGTATTTAATGAATGGTTGCAACAACTTAGTGCTTATATATATGCACTTGGTTTCATATTATTGTATCAGTCTTATGCTATATATCAATCAATTTGCTGTGTCACGTGCAGAGCTGTGTAGACTCCATGCATCAGAGATGGCAGATGGTGAAGAGGGCCACGTGGGTTTGTGGGATTTAGGAAAAAAGGTGCAAAAATTATATGTAATTTTACATATGGGATATGTATAAAATTATGGGATGGTGAACACTGCACCAAGTGAAGTTGATCCATGTGCGACCCATTTTGGCCCCAGCATGCATTGCCAAAACTTTCAAAAATACAGTGCAGTCGACGGTAGCGAGTTGCACAGTGGGATACCTATCCATGATGCACCACACTTTTAATCGATACAAGGATTTCTGGTGAGTCTGCTCAATGCTGACACAAGGAGTCAAATAGGCATACGCACATGGGACATACTAACATGTGGAGAGTCTATGATGACGTAACTTGAGTTAATATAAATGTGTAGTGTAGGTATGGCCTTAAGTCTATGAAATGTTTGGGAGAGGTAACAGGAAAAGTATGAGGCAAGGCTAAGATTCATTCAGGTGTTTAGGCTCCTGCTTTGTGGAACCAGGCCTACTGCATCCTAAAGGCTCAAGAACAAAGAGGCACATAAAAAGACCCAATATCATTAATTTCTTGTTTTTTAATGTCCTGACTTGAGGACATTAAACTCATGATTTTGGAATTCTTGTGGTTGTCATGCTATCTTGGGGTTGTAGATGTGTTTTCATTGTGTTGTGAAAGCCAAAACTCTTAACTGGGTTCAGAAAAGAATTAGATAAGTTCCTCACAATAGGTCCATCTCTGGCTATTAGCCAAGATGATGAGGGATGCAATCCCATGCTCTGAGGCTGGATGTTCCTAAACCTCTGACTGCCAGATGCTGAGAGTGGACTTCAGGGGATGGTCACTAAATGATTGCCTGTTCATTCCCTCTGAAGGTTTGGCACTGGCCATTGTTGGAAGACAGGATACTGGGCTTGATGGACCATTGGTCTGATCCTCTGTGGCCGTTCTTA